TTCTTATTACTATTATTATTATTACTATTATTATTATTATTACTATTATTATTATTATTACTATTATTATTATTACTATTATTATTATTATTGTTATTATTATTATTAGCTTCCGATGGAGGCGCCTCGGAAACCTGCCTTCAATCAGTTGAGCGGCTCCTTTGGCTCCCGATGCAGGTCGTAGCCACCGGCGGTCACGTGGAGGAAGTAGTCCTCCAGCTGATCACCACCCCAGACATCCCCTCAACCCTACCCTGCCGGATCGCCTGGGCACCACATGCATCACCACCCAGCCCTCAAGTTCATCCGAAGCCCAACCTTGGGAGGAGTCTATGTTTCGACTAGCATGCCAAGGGGGTTCGGACAGTGCCCGAAGCCCTTAGGTGCTCAAAAGTTTCGAAAGAGGCCGCACGCCTTGGACCTTCGAAACTGTGATCCGCCCCACACCAAGTGTAAGCTCGGACCCAAGCCGCTCTTCAAAAGAACCGCAGATCCCAGACCCCCTAAACTGCTCCTGCTTGCGCAAACCCGAAACCACTCAACCCCGAGCTTTAGACTGGCAGCGTGCACCTGCCTGGGGCATTGAACTCCGATTCTTTAGCGTGCAGGGTCTGGGGACCTAGTTCGCACGCTGATCGCTAAACCCGAACATTCCCAAACGGCGAAACAACCAATGCGACGTCCCAAACCCCTCAGCCCGAAAATCACGCACTCCTGCTTCCAAACCAGCAAAACCCGACATCTGAATGAACCTGAAAGTCCACAAACCATGCCGCAGAATTCCCTATTTCTGATCTTCCCAAGACTTGCCCTTCCGGGAGTGCCCCCCAAAACCCCGAGGCCCAAACCGTAAACCCCCGAAACTTCCAACTCTGTCGGAGCCAGCCCTAAACCACAAAAGTCTAGATCCTATAGGGTTTAGCGTTTAGGGTCTAGGGTTGAGGGTTTAGGGTTTAGGGAGAGTTTAAGGTATCAACCTTAACTTTCCAAACCCCAGAAGTGGATCCCCCCGCCCTGTTGCCCAAGAAAGCCTCGGAGCCCTCGTAGTATCCGTAGAAGGATTCGAAGCCTGACCCAACTGCCGGTGAGACTTTGGTATCGGGCTTTGGGGCTTGGGATTTAAGGTTTGGGATTGGGATTTAAGATTTACAGGGCTTTAGGGCTTTGACTATGATCTGATTCAAGGGATATTCGGAGAAACCTTCAGAATTCGTGGCTTTCACCGAGCGGGCGTGCTTTCCTCCGAGAAGGCTTCGACTCTGCGGCCGTGGCAGGTTGTCACCCTCTGGGCTCTCATGACACAGACCCTAAACCTCTGTTATAAGCCCCAAACCCCTAATCCCCTAAACCCGAACCCCACAAGAAAAGTCAAAGGCCAGTGGGCCTCTGTACGTGGGCGTGTACTCGGTCTTGAAGAAGCCCAAGTGCCACTTGCCGACAGCATGGCGCCTTCCGCGGAATCAGATTAGGTGACCAGGTGCTTCATCGGGGCTTCAACGCTGGGGGCCAAAAAAAAAATCTCAACTCCTCCAAGAGTCCACAAACCCGCAAAATCTCAGGGTCCCAAATTACATTGCTCCCCACAAAAAGACTCTTGTCGAACATGTCCAGCTTCAACAACGGAAGTGCTGGCTTAACCCGAAATCACCCAAAGAGGATCGCAGATGCCTGAACCCATATGTGCATCTTCCAACTGCCGATATACTTCCAAAGACTTGGCCTGTAGCCCAGTCCGCCCAACAGCGAGGGCAGCGTGGTCTCGTTCAGCGGCAGGCCGTATGCTTCGTTCGGAATCCTTGGCAGGGTGGTCTGGGTTTTGTTTACTATCCCTTGCCAAAAGGTTAGACTGAACGCCAGTTTGGCCGAGGCTACATGCAGCTGAAGCTGCAAGCTCTGCACTCAGAGAACCCGAAAGCCCTCAACGTCAACACCAAAACATCGCTGCAAGCCACCCCCCCAAAGCCTCGAACCAGATTCAGAAAGCAACATGAAGCCACAAAAGCCACTCCAAGCAACCAGTTGTTGATGCCCGTGTGCAGCGGCATTCGCCCTGTCATGAAGGTCGCCTCGGAAGGCTTCAGAAGTGGGCATGGCTGACGCCACCCAGACCACGTTGCTTTTCAGAGCCTTAGGGGGGGAGTCCATTTTTCATCTTGATTTGGTATTCGAAGGAGTGGGCTGTCAGTTGATGATCCAACGCATCGAAAAGCACGAATAACGCAAGATCACAATGCCATTGACAGTTGTCAGCCATCAAGAAACGCTTTTGAAAACCTCAAGTTGGAAGACCGCAAACGCACAGCCGAATTCGCAAGGGCACTCGGCTGGGCGAGCAAGAGGGCAGCACGTAGTACTGGTCCAGGGTCACACCCCTCTCGTGGAACCTGATTGGGAAAGGGCTGCCAAACTGCCTCAAACCCTGAAACCTGAACTCAAACTCTCGGGAGACAGGCCAAAAGGTTTTAGGGTTTAGGGTGTAGGGTTTGGGGTTTAGGGTTTAGGGTTTGGGGCAATCGAAGATGAGAAGATCCGTCGGGTGTAGCTTCGGGGATCAGGTCCTGGGGGTCGGTGAAAAGAAGTGTGAATCTGAGCTTAGGGCTTATAGGGCTTATAAGGCTTATAGGGCTTAGGGGGTTTAGGGTTTCAGCTTCGGGCTTAGGGTTTATCGCTTAAGGTTAGTTTAGGGCTTAGGGTTTAGGGTATCGGGTTTAGGGTTTCGGGTTTGGGCTTTAGGGATCTGGGCTCGGCGCATGTGCCCCCGGTTCCAGCGCAGGTCAGGCAGGTGGACTATCCGCTTGTGAGCTTAAGAAAGGTTTTGGGGTTGGGTTTCGGGCTTTGGGGTTCAGGGACAGCGCTGAGATGCCGGAGTGTTTTGGTGGTTGTGGCCTCTACCACCTGAAGTCTTGCCCGAAGCAGACAAAGGGGGGTCCATCCTAGTCACAACTCTGGCCGTTCAATTTTTGTGAAAGGCTGTGCTTCGGACATCTATGAGCCTGCCTGCTGTCGCCTGCACCTCGAAAAACACAAAGGCCTGAAGCCCTCTGCCATCTTCTATGTACTAAGCTACGAGACCCTCGAACCTGCCGTCGTGTGGCGACAGCTCGACCCTCTGCACTTACATTGTCATCTGGGTCGATTACATGCCGGCTTCCGTACAAGAAGTCCGTCTATTGCAAAGGCTTCTGGGAAGCGTCGCGGGCAAAGAGCAAGGCTTCCACGCGAGAGTGTGCCATGTGTTAGCACGCAGGCAGTTGTCGTCATAGGATCAGCACCGGGTGGCATGTTCAGAGTGGGCGTCTGGATCTGGTTCCCATTCCGAAAGCCAGGATCGTCCCAACCAAAATCGTCGATCACCTCGGCTCCGACCCGGCCATCTTCCATACAAACTTTCCGGTGATGATTGAGGTGACTGCTAGCATGGATCCGATGTCGAATCGACAATACGGATGGAAACTGCAAGCAAAGTGATCCCAGATCCTGACCCAAGGCCCAAAGGGAGGAGAAGCAAGAACCCCATGTGCTATGCTGCTACGCTGCACTTGGCTCTAATAGGGGTATCCTCATATCAGTTGAGTCCGGTTGTCGTACCCCAGAGCCGTACCAACATTGCAGGGGGAATCCCGATCCTTCTGCGTTAATGCCACCATTCGGACTAGTTCTGGCCATACCCACAAAACCTCCCAATGCCAGCCCCCAAGCCAAACTCATGCGCAAGCCCTGAACCCAGCGGCATGGAAGATGATGTGTGGTCTCTTCGCAAGGGTCAACGACCACAGCGAGAGCAGCAGAGGCCAAGCGAGAAGTGCCATGGCTCCAGAGCAAGTTGTGCTGTATTTACAAGCTTCTAGGCTTCAGAGACGAGGTCTGGGATGTGAAATGGCAACTCAAGCTCATGCATGCTCCTGCTGTTCGACATGCGGAGCTCTTGTAGTGCGAGTTATGGAGAAGATCTGTAGGTGGTTGATTCAGTTCTCGAGACACATTGCAACCTGGACTTAGTTTGGAGTTCAGTAAGTGGTTTCAGACACGTCACTGAGGCTCCTGCAATAATTGCTCACTGCTTGAGGCTTCAGTCGCGAAGTCTATCATGCTTGAGCCTTCTGAACCTTGTACATGCTTTGCGATAGCTCTTGAACCGCACGAGACGATAGATACGATTGCAACGGTGGCTGCACTATGGAGTCGGCTTCACTTGACCCTGCAGTCGCAGATGCTGGGCCCAGCCCTCAAGGCCTCAAACCACCAGAGACCCGAAAGCCTTCGATACACCCCCTTTTGACGCTCAGGAAAAGCCGCCACGGCGCCGAGGCCTCCCACTCACGGGAGTTATATTGGTAACACTTTGGTAACGATTTAGGCTTCTATATTACGGCATTATTACGGTCAATGTCAGCCTCGCAAGACCTCGTTTGGACAGTGATTATCAGTCAACTGCTCTTCAGTGACGGAGTAAGCTTTTGCCTGGAGAAAACATGCCATTTCTTGGGCCTTCACCAAGATCCTAAACCCACAGGACGGTTTCCGGAAGCCGATGTATGGCTACCCTCAACCCTATAAACCCCAGAGTCTGTTGCAGAGAGATTTCCGTCCATCCGTGGAGTGAGATGCCCGAGAACTCGCGTGCCGGGTGGGGAGTTCATCTAGACTTCCCAGGCTTGAGGACGGCGGTCCAGGTATTTATAGTGTCTGTGTTTCGCAAAGCACTGAACCCGCTTGTCCGCATGGTTGATGCCGGATACCGAAGAATCTGGCGTCTGGGACCCTAACATAGACATCCCACACTCGGAACCACAGAAGTAATGGGGTGCTATGAACCCGGAGCTACCACCCGGCAAACCGGTTCGGGCTTTGATTCAAGTCGCTTGGGCATTGCACCAGAGACTAAGTTTGGAGTTTGGGCGGCGCGATGTTTGGGGGGTTCACCTATCGCTGAGGCTTCTGCATTGAAGGCTTGCTCACTGCTTGACGGTTCATGGCGAGAACATGGAGCTTTGGATGTTCGACGTTCTGAGCCTTACTGAGAATGCATGATCGGGCAGAGCCCTGCAGTTTTGGATGCTACATGGGTCGGTGCGGAACACCGGGTGCCTCACTCGCGAATGCCTCGACATAACCCCCGCAGTAGCATTCGATCCTGGCCCCAGTCCTCGAGGTCTGAAGCCACAAAAAGACGCAAGACCAACACCGAAACCCTCATGTTGCATGTGCATTGCGACAGCGCTAGCATCGTTTGATGCGCCGGCACGCGAAGAAAGTTTGAATGTTCGGACTCCAGCGCTGGTCCAGCCACCTCTCCTTCCGCGAAGGCAGGCCCGAAGCACTCAGGAAAGGCCATCATTATCCAGCAGGGCGCCGTGGCCTCCCAGGCAGTCGAAGCCCCGAACTCCCCAAAGACCTGCCACCCGACATCGACCGCACTCCGGGCCAAACTCCGGCCGGGCCTCGGATCACAGGCGGATCCCCTTCTCGGCCGCCGGCAGCGCATCGAAGGTGGCTTGGAGCTTCTTCTTCTCCTCCTCGCCTGGGGCGTGGTTTTGTGTGGCAAGGCCCACGGCCGCTTCATCTCCAGCCCCCGAGGCCCGGGCTGAGCTTGTTATTTCGCAGATCAACCCAGAGTTTGGTGAGCTGCGGCAGCTGCCGCACCCCCTCCAGCACTGCAGTGGCGCCGGCCTGGCCTCGGCCGAGAGCCGCCACTTCCAATAGAATCTGCGGGTAGAGGGAGCGGACTTCGGTGTGGGGATGGGCTGCACTTAACGAGACCCCGAGGCCCGGGGCGAGCCCGGTGGCATCCACATCAACATAAAGCTCTGTGAGCTGCCGAAGTTTCCGTAGACTCTCAGCCAGAGCTGCGGCTGGGCAGGAGGTTTTTCGGACGAGTTCTCACGGAAGCCGCGGCGTGAATCCAAGACTCCAATTTAAAGCACATCACGGAAGTCGAGGCCGTTCGGGTCCAGGCTGGGATGAGCTGGGGGCTTGGAACTCTTCATGATGGGCTGCGCGCACTAGATGCAGCTTACAGTGGCAAACAAGAAGGCAAGCTTCTACGTCTCCACGGCTAACTGCAAATCCGAAGAAGCTGATATCAGATCGGAGATGGATACAATGGACGGGGTCGGCTTGCAGGCCCCAACCCCCAAGCGGGAGGCGGCGGCGGCGGCGGCCAGCAAGCTAGAAATCAAGAGGACGGAGTGCGGAGCGGAGTTGAGGCCCCGGGCCCAGGGAGTTGCTCCGCAGATCCAACCACAGCCGCTCCAGCTCCTTTTGCTGCTGGAGGCCCGTGGCCAGGCCCCGGGCCTCGTCATTGCCTGCCCAGGCGAAGGAGAGGAGCTTTACATGCTTCTTCCCGGCTCCACCCGCACGCTTTGCGCAAAGAAAGCCCGCCGGGGGCCGGAGGCGCCGTGGCCGGAGAGCCGGAGCCCGAGCAGGAGCTCTCGGAGAGGGAGCTTCGCTCGCAGGGCTCGGCAAAGCGGCTCGAAGAGGCGCTGGAACCGCTCTCTGCCTCCATCGAACAGAACGCACACGAGCCTGGGAGCCTCCCGGGAGCCGAGCCTCCGGCCTTTGAGATCGAGCCTGAGCTTCCTCTCCTCCTCCAGCTGTTTGAACTCGTCGTCCTGCGCGGCGGGCCCCCCAACCCCGGGCACTGGCCGAAGAGCTCCCCCTTAGACACAGGGAAACGAGCGATCGGTTATGCCGAGCAAAGGCGGGTATCGGTGAGTAGAGGTCTAGGATTGAGAAGATGCTGAGATGTTTCTGGCAGAAAGTCCGGCGCGCAGTTCCCGAGGTATGGCCGATGGGCAGCAACCCTCAGCACTGAATCCGGCCGGGGGCCCCGAAAAGATGAAGAACACTTACTGTACCACCACTCCTAAATAAAGAGAGCGCCGGCCTCCAGCTCGACCAAAAACTCCACCACCGAGTGGGCGACGTGGCCTCGCACCTGAACGCGAACAGGGAAGTAGACTAAATGCAAGGATTTGGGCACAGAGCACAAACGAGGAAAACACGCCACAGGCCACGAGCTCTCTTCACCCCGCCTGGCCGGTCCGGAGGGCCCTGGCCATTGCCACGGCGGCCTCGCCTGAGTCGTCGTTCAGACTGAGCTGGAGCTGGGCTTCGACCCCGCTCATCCGGAGCGCCTGCAGGACGGTGCCCCAGACCCCCGGAAGCGAGAGGCCGGGTTTAGGGTTCGGGGCAGCGTGCTTGCTTGCAAGCTGCTGGTTTGGGGGGAGCGAAAGTTCAGATGCCTTCGGGTGGCGGTGAGCTTGCTGCAAACACCAGCCTCAAGAAGGGCGAAAGCGCCTTCCTCCGCAATTTGAAGGTTGGCTCCCGTAAGGCTCAGCTGCTTGAGGGTCCGATTCTGCTTGACCCCCTGCACGCGATGACGGGGTTCGCTCGCAGCCACAACGACCCTTCCTTTCGGCGGAAACGTCGAAAGGCCTTTGAACAACTTGTCCCAGCCTCGGCCAAAGCCTTGACACCAGCGACATCGACGTGGCTGAGGCTCAGAGCCACAAGCGTCGTGTTGGACTCCAAAGCCAAGGCCTGGAGTGCATCGTTGATCCATTCTGATGCTTCTGTGCATCGGCAACTGGCGGCGGGCCTGAATGACCTGGCGGCTGCCGTCCTCAAACAGCTCGTTCTGCTGCAGGTGGAGCTGCCGAAGCTTGATCTCCTCCAGGACATGCCGGGAAGTGCTTGGGCTGCGACTGGCGGCTGCATGCCGCACGGCTGAATTCGGAAGATACACAAAAGAAATCACCGGCCTTCGGCAGGAGCTGGAGCTTCTGGCCGAGCTCGCAGCGGACGATCTCCAGGCTCCTGAAAGTGAAGGCGGTCTAGTCGAAAGGCGGCTTTGGATTCAAGCCGTCAAGTGATGGTGCTTTGCGTGCCGAGGCGCTCCAGCACCGGGTAGCGCTCGAGCGCCGACAGGGCGATGTCGAGTGCGTCTGCACCCAAATCTACGAGCCGCAGGTTCCTGCACATCGCGGCCTTCTCTTTGTACACTTCCGCTTGCAATCTGCAGACGGTCTCTACGTCATCTAAATGCGTGAATTTGAGTTGGTGCGCGACGTTCTCTCGAAACGCCTCCGGCACCATCGGGGCGATTCCCCCTTTCTCGCCTTCGGGCTCATCTACTTCACGCGAAAGGTTGGTGGCTGTGCGAGTACTCGACCACTCCCTCTCAGCGGCACACCAACCCCGCTGCTTGTACGGTGTGCGGTTTTTAACCAACTCAGTGACCGGCACTGGCTTCACCAGGCCGGTCGGGTGGTGATACATCACCACACAATCTTGGTTGCGCTCGGCTTCTGCTATGTCCGCTTCCGGCGTCAGGGACTCAATTCGGAGGGTGCTCGTCTTGTCGTGGCAGTACAGCACATGCATGTGCTGCATCGCGCGCCGGAAGCTGACGTTCTGCTTCCGGGAGAGTCGCTGGAATTGATACAGAGATACGTAGTCTATGAAAAGCCACTCCTTTCCCGTGAGAGCCTTGGCTAGTTTGGAAACTTGGTATCCGTAGGGGTCACAGTGTTCCCGCGACTCCCAGCAGTGGGACAGCGAGACTACCTGGGTGCCTTCAGGCGCCTTGCCATCGGCCCAGGCTTGGACCTCCAGACGTTCTGGAGGGGACATGTACGGAGGGCAGGATTTTTAGGCTGCCCCCAATGGATGCAGCGAATATGAGCGAAACGTTGCTTTGGGTGAGGTTCGAGATTCGCAAACGGTATACCGAGCCTCCTCGTGCGTCACAAGTGCAGTCCAACCGTCCACGTAGGCCGACTCCGCTTCCTGACGGCGTGGCAGCCGCTGTCCTACCTGGTACAGCTTCAGAATGAAGTCGGCCCGCACCTGAGCAGGGTGCTTCATCGCTTCACGCAGGAAACTTGTCAGAGGCCTGATCCAACACATGCCAGCACTGCGCAACAGGAATGATCGGATGGTTGCAGACCGCTGCAGAGTTCAACACCGGGGTGTGCACCAAGCGGATGTCCGCATCTTTCAAGAAGTCCGCCAGCCCCTGCTTCTGAGCCAGGTCGAAGCGCTTGGACTGGGGCAGGCATTTTGCGCGATGTCGCCTTGGATTAACTCCACATCCCCCGCACTCCCGCCTCTTGGGGCTCCGGAGCTGGATCCGGGCGGCGGAGGCAGCGCGCCAGGTCCTCGCAGCTCAGCAAGCCCTCGCCTCTGCAAGGAAGCATCCACCACGGACCATCTTTCTGAAAGCGCACAGTAATGCACAGTAGCAGACAGCGTTTCTGACCCTGATGGTGCTGTTATGGCTGAGCTCCCAACGATCGGGGACAACTTCTTTCAAGATGTCCTGACCGAGTCGTTCGGAGCACGTGCAACAAACTAGGCACGCAGTCCCTGCCTGGAGCATGTCCACAGTAAATCGATCGCCTGAAGCGCTCTGGGAGAATACTTCACCCAACTTGCAGCTGAGGGCTGGTGGCCTTTAAGGTTCCTGACGATGATGTGGAGAGCATCCTTGGTCATCCTCCGCTTGCCCGGACCGCCCTGGCATGGGAGAGGTGGGCGAGAAACAGTCCCTTGTTCGCTTTTGTGGTCTTTGCGGTTCGCTCGTTCATGAAACCCGTCACGTTGCAGCCCGCACACACAGACACTACAGCAATCGACCCCGAGTCTGCCTTCCACCAGGCAACAAACCGATTGCAAGAAGCAAAATCGCGGATGCTGGAAGGAGAGCAAAATTAGATACTCCATTCGAGGTCATACGCAAAAATAATTCCGGGTCATGTCCAACTCACCAAGAGATCCCCGTGCGAAGTGTCACCTAGACAGCCTAGACATAGCCACAGACCGAACTGCAGACACCGCCCCGCTGAAAATGATGCCCGCCATCCCAACTTGCAGGTTTGGATCGGTTTGGTGTTTGCATCACCCGCCCTCGAGCCCGTGGTACCAGCTGGATGTCCGCATGTTCGAGGAAGTCTGCTAGCCCGTTCTTGTCCGCGAGGTCGTACTCCTTCGCCCAGCAACGCCACTCTAGACATCCTCGCCGCACTTTCCGCTGCTGGTCGTGACCCAGAATGACAGAAGCGAAGAGCACGAGAGAATCCGCAGAGCCCCATGTCGCAACGGATAAGAAAAAGGAGTTGCTGTCATTGCCGAAACCTCCGAGCTTCAAAAGCTTATAATAGGAATAGCTTCCAGGCTTCGCGGCGGAGGCAACCCCAAGGCGGGCAACTGGCACCTGGAAGCTGAAAGGAAAGAACCTCCGAGGCCTGAAGGGACCCCAGACGGCCCCAGTGCCCTGCAGGCCTCAGTCGCCATCCGATTCCCGGCCCTCGGCCTTTCCGGGAAGAGTGAGAGTCAATGAAGAGTGCCTTTGGGAGGATGCCGGGAAGGACAGTCGCAAGATTGGTGGAAGGTGAATCCGGAATTGCTAGCATGTGCGATCACCGCAGCAGCCGGTAAAAGCCCGAAGCACCCTGAAGCCACCGGGTCGAGCCTGGTCCGCGTAGATGAGTGACGGGATGAAGGCTGGAGACAAGCCTGTGAGATTCAACAGCGTTCACGAAGACTTCGGGACCAGTCTTCGTTTGCGGGGATGCTGGCAGGGTCAAATCCTCGGGCTTTTGTTGATGCATCGAGGCTGAGGTGGCGCAGCTTCAATGCACGCAAGCCAAAGAGAACCCAGCCACGAACTAGAACACGGTCCAGCCCGAAAGCATCGAAAAAAGTTACGATCAAAGCCCTCTACACCTAAACGCGAACTTGCAAGGCCCCGACTTTGCAGGATGGCGGAGCGTGCCGGTTGCGAACTCGGCTGGCCTTGGCTCTCTCCTGCTTGGGAGCCACGGAGACAGGAGCAATAGCCCCCGCGCTGACGCTGTCGGTCCTCTTGAAGACTATACGCTATTTTTCAAGTGTGTGCTGTCGCGTGACTTCATGTGGCTTTGACGGATGCTTCATCACGTGCCGCGATGGCTTCTCTTCGAACGGTTGCTTGCGATCAAGTAGAGGATGGTAGCAAACGTCAGCCATGGATCAACACGGGACACTGTGAGCCGCAGCGGCCACAAAAATCGCTGCTTAAGTCCCCCCCCCCCCCCATATTATGTCACAGTTCTCCTGCCGCCGACTCCTATAGCAACAGTGAACAGAAGACCTCTGCACTGAGGAAAAGCCTCGGGAGTGCGCGGGCGGCTCCACGCCCAGGTGAAAGAACACTGCGACAAGAAATAATGTTAGACGGTAGCAGTTGGTGGACGAGCTCATTTAGGCCCCGCGTGGCCTCAACCGCGTACAAAACAAGTTGAAATCTGGAGAGTCTCATAACGTGATTACGCCACTGAGTCGGTCCATGACTCCTCGAAATGTCATTGGGCGTCTTACGATAGGACCTATGTGAGTTTCATTGCCCGAGACTGAATCTACAATCGCTCTGCGTCTACGTTCCTATATGCCTTAGGCCTTAGACTGCTGACACTTGCCTGCAATGACTCCTCAGACAGTCATCGCTGCTGACGCGGTGATCCTACGAGTACTGATGTTTGGGGGCTGGTGAGCTTGTTTCCGCGATGTCGCTTTCGTAAATTCAAAGCCTTTGAATTGAATGCTTGCCATCTGGAAACATTCCGTGCCAAGCCTCCTTCAGCTTTCTGCCTGCCACGAATATGTCGACCGGGCAGCACTAAACCCAAAATCTAATCCCCACCTCAACCCATAGCAAGGACCTCAACCACTGCAAGCCTGCAGCATCTTGATTTCTGTCGAGTCGGGTCGTGCAATAGGTTGGCGATCTTCCGGTACTGGCGGAATCACGGGAGGCCCGCCAACTATCAGTTGTTTAGTGGTTCTCGAGGCCGATGTCGTCCGGAATCTTCGACATCAAAAGGCATGGCGAACTGGGATTATGAGCATGGCAGATGCCGGCAGGCTCCCGGATTCCGCAAAAGAGAGTCGTAATGTGCGGGCTTGATGCTGCAAGAAAGATGCGCCCGGAGTATGGAAAGTCAGAGCCAGAAGCGGCTGGGACGGCTGCACGAGCCCTCGGAATCTCCGACCTTGGACTCGGGTTCTCGGCGGTTGGAAAGTGGTCGCATAAGCAGAGACTCCAGGGGCCCCTAACAGCCATACCCAGCAAGATGTAGTCTGTTGCTCTAATTCTGCCACGACAACTTGCCAGCGGCAAGGCTGCTTCGTTCTCGTGACGGTGTGATGAACCACTTCCAAAATTTGCTTTGAACTCAATCAGAATTGGTGCCGCCTTTTTCGCCAAACTGCACAGCTACTCT